CTGGAAGCTGTATTAATAGTGTTACAGCAATTTTTGCTTTATAAACCATGGTTGATACAACTCCGTGTAAATGGGATTTAAATATGTGAACCCCTATTGGTACAGACAACACTGACACAAGGGTCACACTTGTCTTTATGTTTTCATAATAATAATTTTTATTAGATTCATAGTTTCTTTGTCCAATATGACAATTTGACCTTAACATGTATTTTAGGTAATGCTGCACATCAAGGTTTATGACCCCTGTCTAAGATCCTCAAAATCTTGATGCATGGAAGTAAAGGTAGGTTTATTCGAATCATCTGTCACCCTCTAGCAGTTTTGAATACTCAGTGCTATTGAAAAAGAGCAGGCTAATGCTGCTGTCCTGACAAAATTTCCCTCATTGTACCCTGCATGGCGTTACCCGTCTTCAGTAGCGCAGATGGTGCAGAAAAGTAGGACGTAAAACCCCATTCATTTAGTAAAATTGTGCTAATCACTGAATTATTTACATGCCTCAAACTACAAACAATCGGTAAGACTATGATTGTAAGGCTGAAAACATTAGTTGGAAAAACGCTCATATTATAATGAAAACCTTGTCTGTCCGTTCGCATATTTATCCAAATTTGATGAAACTTGATATGGATGTATATATTGATGAGATCTCAGTTAATTTCGAAATCAGTGATAATCGGATGAAAGTTTTCAGAGTCATTGCCATTGTTTGTACAATGATGGGACTTTGTTCATGATTGAATTGATAAGATCATCGTGTTGTACTTCGTACTTGTAAACATGTATTTGTTTTGCAGTTATTGGATACATTGCTGCCAGAGAAATAGCTCGTATGGGAGGTCATGTTATTATTGTTTGTAAAAATATGGGTAAAGTCGATTCGGTAAGATTATTGATTTAATTTAAACTTTCAAATTTGTTCATAAATGAAATTAAGATGACCATGTAAACACGCATATTTATACCGCTATTTAAAGCGGGTTGGATTTAGATGATTTAGTCTTTTGTTCAGACCAGTGGCGGAGCCAAAGGGGGGTGTGGGGGCAGAGGGTACAGCCGCCCCAAAAGCAAAATCTCATAAATAGGTTACAGATTCAGACGTAAACCTAGCTCCGCCACTGGTTCAGACCACTAAAGTTAAGGCATTTTAACTATCAACCGTTTTTCGAGCCCGTTTTTTTAAGTCGTCTGAACGCGACCATTAAACTTAAGCTGCCTTAACTTGCTGTAGGATATTTTGACCTCCTATAGACCACTTTACGGATAGAGCATGTCTGGTTGTTCGCGCTTTAATCTGCGTTGCATTGTGGGATAGTAAGCGTCCTTAGAGTTCCGCCATAATGTAAACAGAAATGGAGTAGAATAATGAGCGATATGAAAGATGTAGCTGTGTTGAAGCGAGATGAATTGGGCGTTTTTCTTAAAGACCGCGGCGGGGAATCCCATAGAAATAAGGAAGATAGACATGTTGCTAGCATCTATTGCCGAGAGCAGAAATATGCCGCTTAAAACTCCTGTTGAAGATGATCTCCAGAAAGTGATAGAAGAAAGAAAGAGTAAATATATTTTGGAAGATGGTTTGATTAAGCTTCCCGATCCTGTAAAAACTACATAAATTTTCCGAATACATCAGTCTCAGATGTAGAAGATTATATAAAACTGTGCAAGTATTTATTACTATAGTAGGCCTACTGATATCAGACTCTGGAGACTGAGCCTAATTTCACAACCTTAAACAGATAGATTTTATTATTATTTTAAGGTAAAATTGTTCCACTACTGTTCCTTCTGACTTGTATCCAGTATTATTATTTGATTATTATGTTTGTATCATGATTCTATTCATTCTAGTCAAGTAGAATAGACTTCAAAATTATTTATGTTTAAGTTAAAACAAAATGTATGAACTGGCAATTAACAAAACGTGTGTTGCTCCAAAGAGCACTCATGTGAGTTACAAGATGCCTACAGTAATTGACAGTGTTTTGCCGACCTGATTAACATGATTGGGGACTGGGGTATTAAGCAATCAATCACTTCGGTAGATTGATTCACCTTGTATAATAGGTCCTGCCTCTTGGCTTATCTTGTGTGCAAACATATAAATAAAGAACAAAGCAGGTGTGTCTAGTTTACACTCATGCAAGTTCATGATTTGTTTCCTCAATAAACTACTCTATGATGTATTATACATGTATATGTATAAACTGAATTAATTTTACAAGTGCTGAGAACCATAATGTCCCGATGAAAGGATCAAAATCAACAAAAGAAGGAGAAAGTTTATACTTATCTGGACATGTTACTGGTGTTGAATACCATTGAATCAGGATAGTACTGATCTAATTGATTCCGTGTTGGCCAATGAATAAGTGGTTTTAACTCGAGGGCAGGAAGATAAATCCAGTAGGTGATGATGGAAGAAACTAGTGAACTGGAAACATTAAACAAAGAGGCAAAAAATTTCTGGTTTAGGTTCAATCGTAATTTCATTAATGTCAAAAGGAGTTCATCTTCTAAACTTAATCTATGTTTTGGACCAGGCTTGTTGGTGTTATTCTCTTGGTAAATACTAGTCTCATGTGAATCCTCGCCTTTATAATACTTCATATTTGAGGCTGGTGCCCTAACTTCATCAAGTAACCAGCAAAACAAAAGATAAGAACTTAATCCTGTATGTGATCTGAGTGCTGTATATTAGCAATACCAAATGTAGATTTTTTCTCAAGGTTCTGGATATTTTCATGTGCAATACATAACTGTTGGTCTTTTTCAGCTAGTTGATTTTTCAGACTTTTAATTTCTTCACATTCATTTGATATTATTTCAGTTTCATCAGCAATATCAACATCAATATCTGTACATGTCTTTATAGTTATTTGAATCAGTGAATAATTATGTTCCCCGGACCAGTCTTTTTTGCTGCTTTTTGAAGTTGAATTTGCAGCTCATCAGTGTGTCTTACCAAATGCCGTCTTGTAGCTTTGTTGTTGCATATCTTTTAAGGTAAAGGTTTGGGTGTGGTAATAATTCAGCGTGGCTGCCCATACAAAATGGTTTGAACATACTCCAGTGTTTTTATTAACTTCATAGATGTCTCGGTTTCATAACAGGTGTTCATTCACATGCGGCATAAGCAAAAATCTGAAAAAAAGAAGTCTTTCGACATAAGTTCAGTGTGGCTTATTTGAGATTAGGGTGATTGAAGAGTAACAAGTTACTATTCAATATAAGGCACTGGCACAAGGTTAAGAGTAGATCTGGACTAACAGCAGAAAGCGTACAGGTTTACTGCCATTAGTTTTAAGCAAATGATCTACTCTCTGACTACATTCATCTTTGAACTGAATTTTTTCTCTCATTTCATACACATTAAAAATAAAATTTTCAACTAGCTGTATGCCACTTGTCTTAAGAGTGTCTTTGGGTTCATAGAAATATGAGTTTCAGTTGAGGTTCGGTGATATATATCATTTATTGTACCAGTACTGATAGTTTATAATTCATATTTGTTAATTTATTTATATATTATTATAATTATACACTATATTGATGTATCAATAGGTCAGTTGGCCTTAATACTGAATAAATTTACTTTATCTTATTATCTTTTCCAAGGTTCAGTGATTTTAAATTTGAAATAGACACACTTCCCTCCCAGAAAATTCAGGTGAAAATGACCAACTATTCGGACTGAAAATTCCCTTCTGTAAAATCATGTTTACAAATTATAACTTTTCCAGTACCGGTAGTGGTTGACATTTTCATCATCCCAAAGACAGCCTCTCAATAGTATTTTGTAATTAATCTTTCAATTCATATGAAAATGATGTCAAAATTCAATTCAGTTAACATGATTGTATTGTCTGAGCAAAGTAAAAAAAAATTGTATTTTTCCCATTATTTTGACCGTGCAGAACTTAGCATACACATTCAACTAGCATACACATTCGCGGCAAATCGACCCGATATGAAATCTGAATTATTTCTAACTTACATATTGTTAAAATGACTTTTTTTTATGACAAATACACATAAGAATTCTTTCAATTTCGCAAACACCTGTACCGGTACGTCTAACTCTCTTAGTCTTTGTACTGTGGCCCATTTAAGATATAATTTTTTTTTATGGAAGCTGAAAATCACCAAAGTTAAACAGCAAATTAAAAAGCTTAGCAGTCATAGAAATATCAAATCACCAAATTGCTGTCTTCCTTACTTTTTGTACGGAGGCCCATTGAAGACACATACACTAATCGACATATATATGGCCTATATGAGTATATATAATATAAATCAGAGTTTACGGGCAATTTGCGAGGGGTACAAAAAGTAAGGGAGACAGCAACTTGGTGATTTGATATTTCGAATGAGGACTACTGTGAGATAGTATGGTATGAATTTCAAAAAGTTTCTATGACGGGTAATCCAGATTCATTTGGTTTTGGTCGGTGAATTTGGATAAGAATTTGGGTAAATCCTGATTAGTTAACAGTTGAGGTATGGTGATGAAGGTAATTGATTGGCTTACTCAACTGCAAAAAGCAGTGTGATTGGTTGACAAGATATCATTCTAACCTTGGTTAATTTTAACAGTGTTGAGATTACAACGTTTAGAACAGTTTTTTGTATACCAGTAACCGAAATGACAGAGGCTGTGTTTCTTAGGCCTAAGTTTTTCTCTATTTAGTGCTCTTGAATTACTTCCCCTGCTATTGCTCAGAATTCATTTTTGGACTTGTGCCGAGTACGATTGTTACTAGACGACGGATGCCAAGATGGCCGACCAAAGGCTGTTTTTATTTGTTTACATTTCTTTTTAATTAATTATGAGCTATTTTGTTACGTTTGTCATCTGAATCCAATCAGATTAATGTGCGTCTGGTGCCATTTTATCATCCTGGATCATTAAAAGGGGGATTATGCGGCGCTAAAATGTAAAAATGACTGATTATGTCTCTATGAAGAAAACAGCCGATGGATATACTCGGCTGGAAATGCAAGATTATTATGACGATGTCGAGTTGGAAAACTTGTACCAGTGGATTGACTCCATACCTTTATCTAGACCAAAGAAAAATATTGGAAAAGATTTCTCTGATGCCAGTAAGCATTTCCTCATGCAATATTGTCATCATTCATCACAAGCTTATCTATCACCATCAATCATCACTATTAGTATTCATTAAACATGATTATCAATATGTAGCCTTTGATTGATGATCTAATGCACCAGTCTAGGCAATAACTAGCCTATATCATATGATACACTGATTCACCCCTTTGATTCCATTGCAAGATAATTATGCTATTTGAAAACTTGCATGGTTTGGAAACTATCAGTCTGCTACTACTTATAAGAATGACCATAGATCTTTGAAAGAAAGTCATGATTATGATGATGCTAAAAGGCAGACAAAAATTGTATCCAGACTTAAAGAGAATTTTACTGCTCTTTCTAAAAGTAAATTGCTTGGTAAACACTACCAGATTAATTCCATTGTCCATTGTCTTGCACCAACTGACCAAGTTAGATGTATGTTAATTAGTTTTATTGTTTATTTCAGTTTTGTTAGCAGAGATAATCAAACATTATATACCTACTCTAGTAGAACTTCACAACTACACACCAGCTTCCAATACCAATCAAAAAATGGAGAATTGGTTTCTTCTTAATCGGTGAGGGCTGATAATATGATATAATAAATTTTTGCTAGATCTATACAAATCCAAGGAGAATTTGTGTTAAAGATCTTAGGCTTATTGTTAGTTACACTTAAGCTTGTAAATACAGAAAAATCTAGGATTCAGTTTCCCTTAATTGTCAAGTTTGATGCTCAAATGTTTGGCCTTGGAAAGGTACAAAACAAGCCTAAGCAGATGTCCTTTTATGATTTATAAGTTTTGCTTTTTTGACTGTAGACGAGTGCTAAGAAAGATTGATATGGATTTATCTGAGGATGTCATCAGGGCGTTAGCCAATGCTAGAGCTAAAGTTGTTGAAAAGATTTTAATGTTAGTCAGAGCACAGATTGATAAAGAATTAGACAGAAAGAGAAGAATCAGGAAGAATTATCCTTATCTTAAATCTAGGACAGCTGATTTAAAGTCAACTCATATAGGTCAGTATTTTCAATTTTAGTTTCAGCATCAAAAAAACCTCAATATAACCTGATTAGCTGGATGTCAAGTTGAGAAACCAATTACAGAGTGGTACTTTTGAGAGAGTGAGTAAGCACTGCCGGACTGCCTCTCTAATGACACATTAGTTAAAACTGTTAAAAAAGTTATAATTGTTATTTTAGTTGGTGAAAAGAAAAATAATGGGTATGAAGCAGCTAAAAATTCATTTATCTCACCTCGAAACCAACCTCGAAGAACTACCCCTAGAGTGTGAGTATTGCAATTTCTTGATATTGATTTATAGGAGCTGGAACTTTGTCATTGAAAAGAGTGTTAAATCTATGATTATTTTCTTTTGTATGCTGTTTTCAGTTTGTGAAAGTGAGATACATATTCACAGCTAATTTAAGATTCTTGAACTGTTTCAAAATCTTAAATCAAGAGGTCTACTGATTAATCTTGACATGACTGACAGATTTTGACAATGGCAATTTGAATTGAACTGTGATTTTGTTTTGTTATTTATTATTAGAAAAGTTGTTATAAGTAAATACCCACAGCCTCAGTAAGTTACAGTCACCAGTAGATGCTCTGTTTGATAGATTGTAGAATTTCTTTTATTTTGTCAACTTCTCAGAACAATCTGAAGTATCTTAAACAAAGAATTTAGTTTCATTTAGAACATTTATCATAGACTTAAAATGTTTTTACTCTTAGATGTGAGCCCTGTTAGTTTAAGAAATATGTATCATGTATCATGTGTCTGAGAACATAATATAACAATCTGTAGGCTCATGAGGAAAGAAATTAAACAGAAAACTTATATATATATTATATTCTAATTACTTTGTGCTGTCAAATATAATGATAATGAGCGAATATCACTTACTAACTTTAGTTTTAGAAATAACAATACTCTTAACTATTCCAGATTTCAAATTTTATTTATTTTTTTGTGGTATTTAATGATGTCAGTGACCTGTTTTTGATCTTTAATGAATACAATACAAACTTATACAATATAGAAAACATGATTAAGTTTGTAACATCTTGAGTCATTTTTCACAGATGATCAGTTTTATAACGTCATGAAGTTAGAAGGATTAAAGGGATTGTAAAGAGGTTTTCTAAAATGTTTTACCACAGACGTCTGATTGGAAATTGGAATGATGCAAATTGATGCTATTAGCATCCCCAAGACACATAAATTTTTTAGAAAACCTCTTTACAATCCCTTTAAGTTGTTTAGATATTTGCTTTACAAGCTCATAGAGCATAAACTCATTTATACATAAACAATAGTCTGAATTTCTATGCATTCTCTCAGGTTGATGTAAATGAAATTATGCTATGATTATATTTGATTTTTAGATCCTATGGTAATCGACCTATGCAAGCACCTGTTACTGACAATGTCTCTAGATCTTTATTAGATGAACAGGAAGGAGAATGTATAGCTAAAGAAGAAACGATACAGGTACTTTTAGTTTAGCTCAAACAAAAGGGAATATGACTTGCAGTAGAAGTTTCAAAAACGAAGAATTAAAGATTAGGTTGGTTGAAGGGGAAAAAATAACTATTCAACAGAAGGCACGAGATCAGAGTACATGAGAAATTCAAAAAAAAAATCGCATCTTTTTATTTCAGATTTTAAATGCCAAGATTAGAAGACTGGAGCATCTTCTACATTTAAAGGATATTAGAATTCAAGATTTAGAGGAAAGGTTGACCAATGCTAGAATAAGATGATTTATATAAGCACTGGCTCAGGATTTCGGTTTATAGGGTAGAACACAAGCATTATAGTTTTAAATTGAAGTGAAAATTATGATAAAATGCAATGCCTTAATTATAGAGCAAAAAGTAAACCAATAGAAATAGTTTGATTAAAAACAGTATCAACAAAATAAATTCTGTTACTCAACTGTCAATGCATTAGATGCAGGAGTTTCTCATCCTTCTAGAGCACCTCTTAGCTTGTATTATGTAATACATAAGCAAGCCATCATTGGTTTGTGATTGCTTTTGATTTGGTGCACTCCAACTTTCTGTAGTTTATTGCACTTGTCCTATCAAAGCATTGTGAAATAAATTGCTCCATTATTAATCATTCAAAATGCTTGTTACTAATCCAGGGAAGTCATATTTTAACTGTGATATTTACATCATAATACTTATGTAAAATAAATTTGATAGTATTTCTTGCCTTCAAAATGTTTGTAAAATAATTCCTTCAAAATGCAAAATTATTTTGATACCATTTTTATATATATTTTATCAAAATTTTTGTAGAAATATTTCGAGTGAAAAATAATCTTGATAGCACATTTTCTATGAAGTATTCTTCACAATGTCAACTCTGTGATATAAGAAAGGTGGCCATTGCAGTCAAGGTATAAGATGAAGTTTGTAATAGCTTGACATTGTGAAGATTGTATAAAATGGGCTCTATGTTTTTACTGTACTATTTGTTTGTTAAAAGTATAATGTATTTGTTAGTCATTGTTTTGTTTTGTAGATTTCATTGTTATAAAGATTTATGTGCAGAAAAGGTTGGATATAGTTCATATAAGTTTACTATCCAAACATAAAATCTGCAGAACCTTCCTAGGTTGAGCTTTTCAGCCTCTTTCCTTGTGCCCAGTTGCCTACTTTCATATCATGCAAGTAGTCTTTTGTTAATGCCTGTGGCTGGTACTGTAGACACAACCAAACAGTTTGACAACAAAACGGTATAAAACATTCTGCCAAGATGATGTAGAGCAGGTTAAGAAATGTGTCATGTTATTATTCTAGTGCTTGTATTGTTGTTGAATATCTTGTGATTCCAATCAAAATAGAAAGAAAGTATTAGATATTGATGTTTATTTTATAGTTTATATAGTGGCTATTTATTTGATAAAGATAAAGTAATTTATTAAACTTGAACAGAGTGTTTCTGATTATTATTGTTACAAGCGGCGGTATAGTTTCCATTGAATTAAGATTTTGATTGGTTGACTTCTATCTCTACTCCAAGGTTGACTTTGTATACATGATTTTCCATGAGTTCACAGTATATATAGAATATATCATTTACACAAAACAAATTAACAGCTATATCATGGATTCATAACAATTGACTAGAGGAAATCTTATGCTGAACATGGTTTGAATAATCAAGCCTCATCAGGACAGCTTCAAAGCGAATTGAGATAAGTTATAGCTAATGGGGATGTAAGGTTTCTTTAGCATTTAACTGTCCTTATGCAATGCCATGCATGACTTTTGCAGACACTAATGTACACATATATTCACTGTTGTCTTATCTATCATAAAATCTCTGAAACAATACATTGTGTTTATTATACTATACATTAACAGAATATAAATAACTTGCATTATAATACAAAAATAAAACAACTTAAATAGGATTATCATGTTTCAAATAGTAAAAAATAATAACATTTAATATGGAGCTATGGTTTACCTAAATTACTAAAATAATGAATTTTATACAATGTAACGTAAAAATGTTTTAAAAACACACTAAAAACTGGTTCAATATTTTCTAATTCTTTCATTTCATCAGTGACCATATGATACAAGTATTATTTGACAGTTTATCTTATTGAGTTTGGGATATACAATCCTCATCAGGACAGTAGATGGCTTTGCAAAGTTTGTATATTCAGACTAGACTCTGGATATACATGAATTTTTAGTAATTGACCATTGTCTCTGATAGATTACTAACAGGGAACAGTGAAATAAATTGAACACCCTGTTGTAAAAAGAAATAATTACATGTAAATATTAACAAGAAACAAATTAAGTATAAAATATAGGCACTTTATATTATGCTTTTACATAAAGCATCACAGTGTTGCAGAGATTTTAACTCCTGGACGGCAAGCATGGTTACTTATAATCTTTTGCATTAAGAATCCTCAGTATAAAGATTATTATAAGATACAGTGATGGATATAACAAAATCTTATTATATAACAATATAACTAGAAATATTAAAACAGAACTTAAATCATGTTCTTACTCAAAGTTTCAAGATATGTGATCATTTTGAAACATAAAATCTGGATTTCATAGATAAACTTTAACATGTTTTCACTAAATTTTAGAAAATTCATCTTAGCATGCAGAATTTTAAATTATGTCATCAATTTTCCAGTGAGTTTAACTAATAGACTCCCACAGCTTCACAGAGCACAAAGTTTCTCTTTTTGGCACTTTTTGATGATAGAAAACACAGTGTGACACAAGGCTATTTCATATGAACAACCTTTTTCTTTCGATCTTTTTTACGAACAACTTCATTAGATTCCCCTTCTCCTTCCTCATCATCCTCCCCTTCTACGGCAACATAATTAGCGGGGAAATATCCTTGTTGTCCATTGGCTAGTTCTCCCATCCACCAGTTAGCTGAGTCCTTATACAGCAACCGAATCACGTCACCCTTAAATACCGACAGTTCATCTGATCTTTGGCCTTTATAATCACAGATAGCAACCACCATTTTCTTTGGTGGACTTCTGCCAACAGGTGCTTGGAAAGAAAACTGGGCTTTACCTTGAGATTGCGTTAACGAAAATTGTGGAAGACGACCTTGATAAATGTGACTAGCACCACTATTACGACCAATATCTGAGAAGCCTGGTCGCCATGATGAGTCAGCATCTTTCATATACAGAGATTGGGAGTTAAAAGTTTGTTGCTGCATGACACTGGACATGGTGGGAGGGGCGTGTGGTGAGAACAGGGTAGGATCACCTCCAAGGGTAACAGTCTCCAACTTTTTCAAAACATTATGATATCGGTTTGCTTCATGTGCATAAAATTGATCCTTTGTCAAAATTCTAGCTGATGTTGGTTCTGGGGAGAAAGTTTGTCTTTCAGGATCATCTTTTCTGTGGGTTCTGCGTGGACTTTCCATAGTTCTAGCTGTAGCAACCAGGGCTTCATCTTGAGTATCAGATTCTTCAGCGGCAGATTGGTAGACACCAGCTTCCAGTAAGGCTGTGTTTGGATCGTATTTATACAGCAGTACAGGTTGATTTTCTCCAATGGAACATAAGGCAATGATGTGATCTCTAGGATGGTATTCAACATCTGTTACAGGCTGGTTGTAATTCAACTCTGAGTATTTCGCTACTTGATCACCAGAGTCTGTGTTCCACACGTACGCTATGTTGTCCTCACTGCCAGCAAAAACAAAGGTACCACAGGGTGATATAGCACTGCGTAATTTGTCGCGGAAGTTTAAAGATCCTATATAAAACTGAATAACTCGTTGAACGCGAAGATCAAATAGCCTAATTATGTTGTCACGACAATGAACTAAAAGTTTACGACCACTTGGATGCATTTTCATATAGTTAATGGGCGTGTCTTTAATGCTGGGTTCCTTAATTTCTTGATACTTGGTACAATTTGTGATATATCCACGACGAGGATCAATGTAAGTATTCCAGACCATTATAACTCCTTTACTATCAGCTGAATACAGCTTCTCACCTTCTTCATCAAAACAAACTGAATTAACATGGCCCTGGTGATCCTCTATTTCCTGCTTCAAATAATCATCCTCATTTTCACCTTCGACATCCCACACCCTGATTACTTGATCAAAGGCTCCAGTTACAATTACGGAATCAATTTTGGGATGAAACTGAGCCGTGTAGACAAAAGTTGGATGCGGCAAAACATGGTCCTCGAGAAACTTCTTGACATTCCAGATTCTTGCTGTACCATCGTTAGAAGCAGACAGAAGATGTGTGTCTCGTTTAGACCAGCAGAGATCATAAACGATACCAAAATGACCTGTCAGTTCTCCCACAAGCTCCCCGGAGGGAATATCATATATTATTATGGGATAGGTCTCTGTATCTCGACAAGCACACGCCAGACTTCGTCCATCATGGGAGAATCTCAAAACAAAGCAACCCTTTCTGCCTGCTTTCAAAGACATCATGTGATGGTTGGGTATACGACATGTCTGGCCATGAAGTCTGTTCCACATTGTTAAAGGCCTCTTGCTTTCTTCGTGAGTTTTAGAAGTTAAATTCATACTCCTTTGTAAATCTTCATAAGTCATCTTGCCAAGTTCTTCTTGTGTAGGAAACATAGACCTGGTGGATGGTTCTACCATATTAGGGGAGTTGATTCCCTTTATTGTGACATACAAAGTTGATGGGTAAGATTCTCGAATAGTATTCTGCCACCATTGGAAAAGCTCCACTTGACTAGTTTTCAACTTATAATTATTTGGTGGTTCAAAAAGTTGTAGCCTTACTTTCTTGTCTACATTTAATTCTTCGTTTCCTCCAAAAATCTTCAAGAAAGCCCATGCAATTCTGTGCCAACCACCTGCGCTCTTATTACCCTCATACTGTCTGCTGGCCTTGTTCATACTCACAAAATCAATCAACTCAAAAAACACTATTACTTGTGGACGATCTTGAATAAAATAATTAAAATTTTCATTGAATACTAAAAGTTCTTCCCAAACTGGTAGAGTGGATTTCTGTTGACGGAAAACGAAGGGTTGGGTCATAATAGGAAGTATCTCTTCTAAATGATCCGCTCTCGTTTCGTAATACGACGTCACGGCTCTGTCTTGGTGTTGTTTTACCAGATAATGTCCAGTAATCTGGTCTACAATATGAACGCGAACTAAAGGATGTTGGATATAAAAGTTATTTTTTAGTTTATCAGTTCGATGTATCATAACAGCTAAAATTTTGCCTTCATCTTCAATTTCTCTTGGACTTAATTCTTCTTCAGGCTGACTGACTTCCTCCGTCACTTCCTTTGGTTTCTTTTTCTTTCTCTTCATCTTTTTAGGAGTCTCTGTCACTGGTTGCTCAGATTCATCACCTTCTACAGTCTCTGATGTACCTACATCATTGACTTCTTCAACCTACAAGAAACAAAATAAATCTTAGTCATGGCAGAGAACCCCTAATGTTCATTGTTCATTTTCCTAATTCAAACAAAAGTTTTAAAAAAGCTGCAGCTGCAAAAACTTAGAAAAAGTACATTCTATAAAAACAACTTTGGATACCTTTCGAGCACTTGAATTCTATATACTGGCATTTAGAAATTAGCACGGCTGGTAAATTCTAACAAAGCATTGAAATAAAGAATTGAAATGAATAATCTCATATGACAGCACACTTCACAATTAAGATTGTTTCAAGTTTTTTATTTCATTGGTCAGACTTAAAAGATTTCAAGTTTTGTTTTGTGGTTCACATTGTTATTACTTGTATTTGGGTTTTTTATTACCGGTACTACAATTTTATACTGTCATCATTCATAGATCAACAGTTTATCTAGATTCTCACCTGGTTTTCAACAGTTTCCACAAATGGGGGCTTCTTTTTCTTCTTCCTTTTAGGTTTATCAGCGCTAGGACTTCTTGGTGAAATTACTTCATCCGTGGCTTCAGCTGGTGACATCTCATTTTCAACTCCTAAACTTTCGTCTCGAATAACTTTCTTTTTCCGTACCTTCTTCATTGGAATATTCTCAACCTTAAAAACAAGAAAAAACTTGGCTTACAACTTCTTCTAACAGGACATCTGCAATTTAGATGCTGGTTTTTGCAATGCATTAATGAAGGCTACCAAGGTGCATTCTCTATGTCATTCTCAAAAACAACATGAATCATATCTAGGGCAAGGAAACAAAATGACAGATGATATTTGAATAACTTTCATCATTGATTATCTGTATTTACCTGAGAATCATTCTGTACTTGCTCTCCATTGACTTGAGGTGGCTTTTTCTTCTTTTTCTTGGGTTTGTCAGCTCTAGGTGATATCAGTTCATCTGTAATTTCTGCAGGGGACATCTCATTTTCAACAACTAAACTGTCATCTTTTACAATTTTCTTTTTTCTCCTCTTCTTCACTTTTTCCCCGGCATGTTCTGGCGAATTATTATTTCCAAGCTTTTCATAATCTTCTGTCATTTTCCCTGTGTTGTAGGGACCTCGGAAAACCTGGTGTCAAAAACATAAACTCAGAGTTAAATGTAAAAATCAAACAAGATCAAACTTGTTTTAAAAATTCTGCAAAAAGTCAGCCATATTGTTGTTTGAAATAGCACTTGGTTGTTGCTAAAAATAAAGTCAAAGCTATTTTTAGAAATGAAGACTTTGAAATAATGAAATGATTTTTTTGACCGGAAAACAAAGTACTATAACTAGAGGATTGTGGGAGGTGGTATCGACGGAAACGTAAACAAACTTTTGTAAATAATCAATAAAATAACTTCAGATTAAACTATTTTTTTTCTCCGGCATTCTTTCTTCAATTTTTCCTGCGCATAGAAAATTAGCAATGGATTCCAACAGAACTCATACAGATGAAATGACGCCCAAAAATGCGGAGGATTTTGACGAATTTCAACAATCCGAATTGGAAGATTTGTACAGTTGGATTGACAGTATTCCGCTTTCTCGTCCGAAACGAAATATTAATCGAGATTTTTCGGATGGAGGTATGTGACATTACGTTTATCAAATTATCTAAGGCTAATGAATAGAAAGCTTACAAATAAATGATAAATTGGAGTTGTGTTAGACCTTCCTTATCTACTGTCAAACTTAAAGGCCTAAACTCCTGTCAAAGTACTTAAGTAAGTAGAGGTAACAAATTTAGGGGCACTAGACCTATATCATATATGAGTATAAAAGTTGACATAATAAGTCTGCAGATTGTTTTTTGTTCTGAAATGATAAAAATGCACAACTTAATAAGTTAATACAATATTTAAAGGCTATTTCTTTAAAGCCTGATTCCTGCGATCGAATAAACTAAAATAATTAGGAATTAAGAAAATAATTTTATGCTTATAAATATAGATCTAGATCTAGTATGAAATTAAAAACAAACAATTTTTCTATCTATATTTCAGTGTTGGTAGCAGAAGTGGTGAAACATTCCTTGCCAAAATTGGTTGAGTTACATAATTATGCTCCAGCTAACTCCACAACCCATAAAATACAAAACTGGTCTTTATTAAACAGGTGAGTGAATGATGGTCAACATGTCTGCCAAACAATAATTTTGCCTCTGAGTCAATACTGCTGTAAAAGTCAATACAATTGTTCAAACACCATAGTGAAAACTACAAAACAAAACTAAAAAACTAGAGTGAATCTCCTAAGGGAATCTGAACCAATCAATTCAAACCAAAGTTTCTTTTTTATTATTTTCAGAAAAGTTTTTTCCAAGTTACATTTCCAGTTGTCAGATGATGTGATTAAAAGTGTAGCTTTATGTAAAGTTGGAGTGATAGAAAAAGTTTTATTAATGTTACGTGTAAAAACATCTAAAGCACAATTTGAGTTAAATCATAGAGTGAAGGCAGAGCAGACTATCACCCCTCCTCGTGCTATTAGTGATAAACCTGAGGCAGATCAAAATATTTCTTCAGGTAATTTATTTGTGTTATATTGGGGTCTAAGACATTGCTGGTGGGGGACATGATTGTCCCCAAAGTTTAGGCTTTTGTGCCAAAGTAGAAAACTTTAAAGAATTTAAGCTCCACTATGGTGAGTGGGTGGGGGGGGGGGGAGGTGTTGCTGACAAGGCAGGGCATGCTACTACTGTAATACCTAAAACCACTCTGCATCTCTCTCTGAAGTTGCTAGAAATATTAGCCTAGCTTAGTAAAATCTTTTACAGACACTTGCATACATCTTCCTTTCTCCTGAAGATTTATTTAGGCTTAGCAATTTTCATTTTATTTTTCAGGACAGTTAAAGTTACCTTTTGGTCATGGTCACGGTCACAGTCACGGTCACGGCCATAGTCACGGCCATGGTCATGAAACTAGTCAGTCCCTAATTCCACCTCGCAATGTAACAGGGCATTCACACGCAGGTCACACGCTACATAGTAAAACGTAAGTTAGATATAAATGTCACGTCAAGTAAACTGCAGGTTTCATGATATTAATTTGATTAATGCATAATTGATTTGAGAAAGGGGGGTTTTAAGACATGAAAATGAATCAAATGGAGTTTTACTTGTTAACTTCTCGGCACTTTTATTGAATCAGCACAAAGTTATGCTGTGTTTTATTATTGTCTTTTGAAGGTTTGTCAAATAGTATCTAAAAATAAAACAACTGGACAAAGGATACATTAAGCTAATAAAATTAGTTCTTTGAGGCTAATCAGAAAAATTACATTCACAGTATGTATTATCATTTATGATAGGTACTCCTATTATAGTTATGTCCTGAGAGTTTAGTTAGCACCTAGAATTTGATATTTCAGAAATTCTCATCAAAGATCTCAATTCACCTCAAATGAAATGATACCTAGAATTTTATTAGAAGAAAAAGAACAGGAAAATTTAGCCAAGGAGGAAACAATACAGGTAATATAAATATTGAATATTCAATAGTCTAGCCTTGTGTGTTACGTACTGTTTTATTTTTTATTATGATTGTACTTAACTGCATTGTTTTCTGCAAAAGAAATTTTTGTATTTTCAAATAAACAGTTATATGGAATTCCTAGTTTCCTGCAAAGAGCTGAATAGTACATGAGAAATGATGATAATAATTGTATCTGTATTCATAAATTCAGCCATGATTTTGGTTCATTAATAATGTCTTAGACTGCTTTAGTTTATGCCTAGTGCATGACACAGAACAAAACGAGTACATGAAACTCAACATTTAAAAATTTTGTTTCCAGATATTACAAGCTAAAATAAAAAGATTAGAACATTTGGTCCATTTAAAGGATGTAAGAATAGATGATCTACAGAATCGTATTGAACAGCTTCGTCCAACTGGTCATCAGAGACGGTGATAGCCTGATTAAAATCAGTCTTCTTGTATAGCATTATAGTGGCATCATTTATCATGGAAGTCAAAGGCTTGATAAAAGAGGCTCTGGTTAAAACTTGACTCAGATATTTTTTGCGCAAAACAATGTTCATGTGTAGCCTTCTTGTGGTATCATTATGTTTTAGGGAAGTCAAAGGCTTTGATAAACAAGACACTGCTCAAGCTCCTATAATACATCATCTGTATTAAAAACTTTGTGTTTGAATAGCATATATTGGCATGATTTTCAAAGTGTTTGAAAACAAGAAACATGAATTTGAGCTCACTGCATTATAGTGGATTCATTCATTTTTGGAGTCAAAAGCTTGGCTTTAGAAGACTGATAGATAATGTAACACAGTTTTTGTGTTATCATTCATTTAGTGAACCTGCTATCCCTTTTGGATTAAAGTTTTGATTTAAAAAAACCATTGTAATAATATAGCATTTACATGAAAACTTTAAGGAATCTGCCACACGTAACTGCCAAATACAATCAAATTTGACCTAAGTTCAAGGAAACTTTTTTAAATATTGTGCAGCTGATTCTATTAGCCAAAATCCAGATTTAATCATGAATGTGCTTAATATATTATAAAATTGTTAAAGAAGAAAATTATTAAATTCTTCCTAAAAAGCTTTTAATATTTTGTTATCTCTTTGAATCATTTTATACTGATCAAACTTACATTCATTTCTCTGTATCATTGAAGCAAGAATCAAAGTAATTTATTTATATAAAGAGTTATGAACTAGCCTATTATATTATTGTTTGTTATATTAATATATTAATGTATGTGCTGTCTGAATATGATAAATGATAAAGATTCTACATTGGAGTTTTCAATACAATTTCTGACGTAGTAGGCAAGTACTGTCCTGTATCAATGAGCACTTGATACGTTAAAACCACACCCCTTATCAAAAAATAATAACATGTAATAGAGAGAACAATAGTATGCACTAAAATAGGACCGGCAATAAATTGAAATATGGGAGACAACCATGTTGGAACTGAACTTGGAACTCCTCTGCAGAATAGTCTGTATTCTAACCACTATATCTCAATCCTTGCTAAATAAACGACCACTGTTGATGTTACTCTCTGGTTAGGAACTTTGTTCATCAACCCAAAATCTGATTTTTTTTTATTGGCTTAATTTAGTTCAGCATACTTCTAGGCAGTCAATAACCACCAAACTGTCCGGAAAAGTCTGCAAATTTATTGCAGGCCGTGCTAATATACCTGTATCACAAGCTTGTCATTAAATGGATCGTACAGAGTTTTTCTTAATCTTTGGAATTCGTGGAAGTGCAGGAACCACAGACGTCTGACTGAAAATCAGAATGGTATAATGTGATGCTATCAGTGTCCCGATACATATACATCCTTTTTTTTTAAAGAAAAACCTCAATACAATCCCTTTAAGACTCGGACTTCTCAGTCTGTAGTTCTGTAACCCACTCTACAATTTGTTTGTTTGTGACTTTGACCCTTGACTCCATTCTTTCATTCTTTAATTAATCTTCGATTGGAAAATTGTCGATCATTCAAGTTTCGACTTACACAGTCTTTGTTATTCCAGTCTTGAATAAGAAGACGTGAAAAGTTGTAATTAAAACGCGATGTTTGGTGTCTGTATGGTCTATTGTCTATACTCGACAAGACTGTGATGTCTAATAAGATATGGTAATAACGGAATTTTACTTCTTCTATTACCAATATTATCATGTTTGTACACATGACACTCGGCACCAGGTCTTGTTAGAGGCTTTGGGACGCCTCTGAGGCCAAGAGTTTGCTGTCATTCCGCCAATCTTGAACAAGGAACCAATACTTTGATATCTGATAGACGGTTAATGTTATTTTTTTCATGCATTCGACACCCAGTCTCGAGGTTAGAGACTCTGAAATAAGGTGGTTGCTATTTTAATAAACAAAAAGGTAGGTCACCTGGAGATGGTTCTGAAAGCTTTCATAGATACATTGTAGTTCGCGATTTTACTTTTACGCCCCTCATCTGCAGTCAACAATAACCAAGAATCTTGTTTCAGCCACCCCAAACAACAGCTTTCCAAGAAGGATTTAATTTATGGTGTTCCCAATCCAATATTTCCCAGATGTCGTGAAATTCCGATTGTGTTTTCAAATCAGAAAATAAATCTATAATCTAATAAATCTATAAATCACACACTTTCCAATTGAATGGCGGCTCATAAAAACGATATTCATTCTTCTTAAGACGGAAACTCTCAGAGGCTGACTAAGTTGTCTCTGTTATATGAAACTATATAGACACAAAGAAAGCTGTTCATGTCTAATAGAAAACTTCATTTGACTCAAACATCCTCATTCACTGCCTTTTAACTTTCCTTTAATCTTATTTTATTTCTTTAATATTGTTTCTCAGCCTCTCTGTCACTGTTTAAGTTGGTTCGAATGTCCAGAGAGTTTGATCGAGGAGGAATACTTAAGCCCTGAGTCGCCCTACATTGAAATTGTAGGTGAGCTTAAAGACGTTAGGCTATGTATGACTGTTCAAGGGGGTGTGTATTACATTATTATTATGTTCTGTATATTAAAAATAAACGAATTCGACAGATAAAAAAAATCAAGTGTTAAGTAAGAGCCGTGAATTTTCCACCTCTGTGAGTGGAACAATTGCAAAACGACACCCCCTCCCACACACAACATCTTGACAATAGCACACCATGGCGTGTCATTTAGATGTGCGATATCAAAATATATATATTGCTTAAAGCAATTCTATAATTCTAAAAGATCGACAGAGAACAACCACTCGCAGAAATTAAGTTCAGAGTGGATGGTAAACAAGATTAGCGAATATTTTGGAATAGTAAAAGTGTTTTGAGGCCTTTTGAACTTTGAAGTTTATAAATTCAATAAAAAGGAAGATGTTATAGTCGCTACTATAAAAGAAATATTGTAAAGTAGATAAAAAATTCAATTTCCTCCATGATTTAGATATAAAGCCCTTTTTCTACTTACTCAGTCTCGAGATTGGTCTTAGGACCGTCGAGAAATATCAAGACCACGAACAAGATCATTCTGAAAAAACCACTGGACACGATAATTACCTATGGAGCAAGATATCCTTTAAAAGGACAAGAGCGAGATCATTCTGACAATAGAAAACCATGAAAGGGCTTCAGGCGTTTACATATTTTCTGTATCAGATGATAGAGCTAAATTGTATACTTCCGGTACCACTTTCAGAAACATAATGCGACCTCTAGCTCTTCTGTAATTCGACAAATAACTGATATCAGCGCTATCAGATCAAAATACAAGTATTTAAAAAGATGGTATGTGTTGGTGTAAGAGAACATAATTTCATAAAAGCACTGGCCTGGGTCACAAAGAAGAAAATTATGATAAAATTCACAGTTATTCTCCGTTAATATCTTCCAGCCTCTAATAAAACAAAATATTATTTCTTTCCAATTTAATCTGTATTAATTTTCAAATTTCAAACAGACGATATCAAATATTGAGGTGATATCTAAACATCTAGATTTTGATGTGTTTTTCAGATCTTCAGCCAGACAGGATCAATGGTGGTCTCGCTCGTATTTCCTTCCTGATGAAAAACAATATATCTCAATAGTCCCAGTCCTTTGATGATTATAAATCTTGGATTGTGTTCAAAATACAATATTTCTGTAGATTGACGTGAGGATTATAAAAGTTGTCTTAATTTACCTTTAATGAGTCAGTGAATAGTCTACTGGCTAAATTATTTTACAAGAAACCCAAACTTTACAACTAAACTAACATGGAGATGGGCTGACTGAACCGTGGGATACTTCCCGAAATCCTTGTTTTATCGTGTATCTTTAATATTTCTTTTTACCAAAATATTTTACATACAAACATCCCTTTTTTTTAATCTTAATAACATTTTGTATGTTCTAAACCTCACCCTCTTCCCCTAAACTTTTCCGAATTTACATTTACCACAAAGGATCCACCAAATCATGGACATGATTCCCCAAAGTACACCCCAATTATTATCAAGGAGCATCGAAAATCAGCAACTTTCAAGCTAGTGCACTTTTAAATGAAATTAACATTGAGTGATATCTATATGAGACTATTCAGAGAATATTCACCCCTGTATCTGTTGAAGTAATATGAAATGATGTAAACTGAGTTGAAAGATAAGTTTATAAATTGAAATATATTATTAATGAAGAAGTTGTCTAGGTAACACGTTAATATGATATTTCAATTCATGGACCTAACACTCAGAGAGGACAGATGTATCTTGTCGTAATCTTTAGATGGTTAGTCAATTACTCTCCGACCACAGTGACCACCGAATTGAACTATTTCTGTCATTTCATAAATATTAAAATAAACTTTCATTTGAATGTCAATTGCCTTAAGGTGCCCTCACACCACATCGATAAACAGGTGCGTATGATTGCGAATAATGGAAGTGGTCGTGGTATCGAACGCAACTCACAACTAATGTACATGATAGTTGTATGAGAGTTGGGTTCGAAACATATGAGCCATATTCTTATTCGCAGCCATACGCAACTGGTGATTGCTATAGATTGAGAGCCCCTTTAGAATGTTTTCGAGTAAATAACAATATAAAGTTGGACGATAATGCCTTTGAAATCGACACATTTGTGAACGAGAAATTTCTCGCGAAAACGACCAATTTTGGACAGAAGCTCTACTCTTAAAATAATTTTTTCTTAATAATAATTCAACCCAGGGACAAAACTCTCAGTAGTATTTATGTAATCAATACTTCAATTCATATAAAAATGACCAGCAAAATGCGATTGTTGCCGTTCTGTAGTTATGGTTTGCTCGCTTCATTAGCTTATTTGACTTATTTGAAGTCCATCAGGGATTTTAAGCACAGATTGTAGCTCTCGTGTTCTCAGTTTATTGTCGCATTCGAACAACTGTAGACCTTAAACTTCAAGCCAGTCCCACCCCGA